ACAGGAACATATAAAAACATGCAGATTGGTCTGAACCAATTCGTATTTATTGAGTCCATGGAAAGAGATTTGAAGAAGGGAATGGTGATGAACTGGGTGAGGGCATTGATTTGGGGCTCTTTACTGTCCTGCCCTAGCAGAGACCAGTTCAGTAAGTCCTTTAGTGAAGGCCAATGGAGGGTTTGCCTAGATTCTTTTGAGGTGAAGAGAAGCAGAAAGCCAGGTTAAGTGATAGCATCCCCTCCCCACAGAGTACTCTGGAGACTTTCACTTAAATGCTCAATCACACAGAACACATGCCGATAAACCCCTCTGTCCTCTACAGCTGCTGCTCTGCTCTGAACAAACCCCCTGATGCTCAGCTGAGGATTCCTGACATTGCCTAAACATAGCTGTGGAACCCAGTCAGTTGTCAGCATTTTCACTCATCTTTCCTAGAAGCCAGCTGCTAAGCTGAGTCAGGGGAGGCCTCTTCAGTTCCCTTCCAGTCTCATTGGAAGGCTAGATTAGGCTCCTAGTATAAAATGTAGAGCTTCAGTTGTCTGAATGTCATTGAGAGCCATGGGGGTCATTTGATATTAAAGGTTTGGATTTTCTTCTCTCACTTTTTTCTTATTCTCTGACTTATAAGAGTAAGGGTGCTGAATGCAGTACCTGTTTCTTTCTTTTTCCTTTCACTTTCTTTAGAATGGTTACTTATCAAAGCTGTCTTTTTTTTTGCATTTGAAAGTGAGTGAATTGACATTGAGGACCATATCTGGATTTAGGTTATAGAGAATCCCTTTCTTATTTTTTATTGTCTCAATTGCAAAAAACAACCTAAATTCCCTTCAGAACCTCCTTCTCTTTATGTCTTGCTTCACATGCAGGCAGTCCCTGAGGCTCAAAGAGGCCAGGGGGGAGGCCCGGCTCTAGTTGGGCAGTTTCTAATGGCAGAGCTGCCTCTATAGGAGAGAAGTCTGGTTTTCCTCTACCTCTTGACATCATCTGGTTCCCTGAAGAGTAAAGGCTGCCAAATGGGGTTTCTGTTCAGTGGGAAAGTCCCCTGAATACTGTGATATGGGATTCCTAGCTGAGCCCTAGGATGAAAGAAATGATGTTATCCTTACCACTTTTCCTGGTGCCAGTAATAATCCCCACTATAATCAATTGGGGCAGACTACCACATTTCGTAGTGAGATCTGAGACACTGTATGTGGGAGAATGTCTTAACTTCATCTTCTTTGGAAGTTTTGAAAGATGAACTTTATAAAGTTTTGGTGAATTGAAAGTCTTTGGAGTCGAGAAAAAGGGAAAGATGTGCCAAGTATAGAGAGATTGAGAAGTTGTTTGCATAAAACGATTGAGGCTATCGTGTGAGTTTCTAAGTAGACCTAAAATTTAGGGGTTCCAGTTGAATTAGAATGACCTTCTGGTGCAGAGTGCCGAACAGAGGTGTGGCAGGGGATGACTAAAGCTTTCTTATTATTATTCCTGTGCAACCCATAGTTGCGAGTAGAAACAGATCCACACAGGCAGCCGTGCTGGTTCTGCTGCTTAGAAGGCACTGCGTAATTTGGGAAGAGAGTATAGTGAAAGAGTTGCCACCTTTTTTACCGATGTCAAACTCAAACTGCATCAGGGATGTTAAATTTGGGGATGAACTTCTTGCTTGACAGAGTTGGGAGAAAGATAAACTGAAGTAGCCTTTTTTGGTGATCTCTGAGAACAGAAGAGTTCCCAGTCTGCCTTCCTGCAAGACTTTAATGGTGACTGCTGGGAGACAGGGAGCTAGACTACATAATATCAGGCAGATCAAAGCAATCTTGACTCTCAACATTTCAGAGGTATAAGAAGAGGCACAGGAAGGGTGGCAGTGGAAAGTGGTGCTTTCCAGAGTGATTAGTGAATCTGTATCTGGAGCTTTCTTTTACCTACCCAAAGTATATGCACCCAGGTTCACTAGGGTCAAAGGTGATGTCACTATTAGTTGGAAATTACCTGCGTTCCAGCTCTACAGTAGCCTCTGCCTTCCTGTTGCCCACACTCTTGAACATGTCCTAGATTCACTCTATCTGCATTTGTGAGGAGGCTTCTGAGCTCATTGCTGATAAAAGCCAGACTCTGGAGCTGGGTTGATCTGATATTAACAGTATGCCTCTCCCAGTCCTTACTTTGAAATTTCTTCCTGTTCTGCACTGATTCTTCTGATCTGGATTTGGTGAGGCTCTGGAGAATCATTCTAGGAAGGCAGTGCCTTTTGTCAACAGGGTTCTGTCACTGAATTTCCTTCCAAGAGTCCCTCCAGAGAGGGATTCTTAGTTATGTAATTCCTGTTTTCCCCTGTTCTTTAGATGTTCTAGACCTATGAATTCTAGCCTGATTTCTTCTTTTTTCCACAGCCTGCCTCTCCATTTCTTGAACTATGTGTATGATAATGGGGAAAATAGTGTTGGGATAGCAGGGGGCTATCATAAATGTTTTGGAAGATTTTCAAACAACAAGGTAACTGTAATTCACTTCCCTTTTAATATACAGTATATGCGTGTGTATGCACACGTGTACACACACACTGTCTGCTAACCTGTTCAGTAATTAGAATTCAACTAGCATTTATTGAGTGCTACTTTGTGCCAGGGACAATGCTAGATCTTTTTACATGCATGAAATTATTTATTCTACATGGCAACAGTGAGAAATAAATATGTTCTTCCCTTTTTTTTTTCTGGTAGATTTTTAGTAGAATCTTTAGGGCTCTCTATATACACTATCATGTTATCTGCAAATACTGACAGTTTTACTTCTTTCTTTCCAGTTTAAATGCCTTTTATTTTATCTTCTTGTCTGATTGCTATGGCTAGGACTTCTAGTACTATGTTGAATAAGACTGGTGAAAGCAGACGTACCTGTCTTGTTACTCATCTGAAAGAGAATGCTTGTAGTATTTGCCCATTGAGTATGATGTTCGCTGTGGGTTGTTCTTCCCATTTTTGTAGTCGAGGAAACTGAAACTCAGAAGATATATGGCTTGCATAAGTTTATACATCTCATAATGGCAGAATTTTTGTTGTTAATCCTCGCCCAAGGATATGTTTCCGTTGATCCTTAGAGAGAGTGATTGGAGGGGTGGGAGAGAGAGAGAAACATCAATGTAAAAGAGACACATTGATGGGTTGCCTCCCGCACAAGTCCTGACCAGGGCTGACAATCGAACCTGCAACCAAGGTACATGCCCTTGACCGAATTTGAACCCTCAACCATCAGGTGCACCAGCCGACACTCTAACCATTGAGCCCTACTAACCAGGGCTTTAATGGCAGAATTTTTTTTTCATTGATTTTTTTTTTTTAGAGAGAGTGGAAAGGAGAAAGAGAAACATCAGTGTAAGAGAGAAACATTAATCGGCTGCCTCCTGAACGCCCTGCAGTGGGGATTGAGCCTGCAACCCTGGCATGTGCCTTGACCAGGAATTGAACAGAGACCTCTCAGTCCATGGGAGGACGCTTAATCCACTGAGCCATGCTGGCCGGGCTAATGGCAGAATTTTTAACCCTAGTCTCTTTGACTCTAAGTTCAGGACTCTTTCCACTATACTTTAGCTACCACAGCACTGGAGAAAGGAAATGACATCATGAAGTCAGACAAATGGCATAACTTCAACAGGGTTGATGATAGTTGTTTTAGAGGTGTTTACTTCTTTTTTTTTTTTATCCTCACCCGAGAACATTTTTCCATTTTCTGTTCAGATAGAGTGGGAGGGAGAGAGAGGAACAGAGAGAGAGAGAGAAACATCGATGTGAAAGGGACACATTGAGTGGCTGCCACCCGCACGACCAACCAGGGCCGGGGAAAAACTGCAACCGAGGTACACGCCCTTAGCAGGAACCAAACCCGGGTCTCTCTGGACCACAGGCCAACGCTCTAACCGCTGAGCCAAACCAGCCAGGGCAGTGTTTATTTCTTTTAAAAAAATTTTTTTTTAATATTTATCTTCAGACAGAATGGGAGGGAGAGAGAAAGAAACATCAGTGTGAGTGAGACATCGATTGGCTGCCACCCACACCACCCCAACTGGGGCCGGGGACTAACCATAACCAAGGTACGTGCCCTTGGCTGGAATCGAACCCAGGACTCTTTGGTCCACAGGCCGATGCTCTAACCGCTGAGCCAAACTGGCCAGGACTAGAAGTGTTTATTTCTAAATGAAGCCTGGCCTGGTATTTGCTTGCCCTTATTCCTTGGGAACTTTTATTCTAAAATGAAAGGTAAAAATGTATCTGTAACTATGCCTGGCTGGTGTGGCTCAGTGGATCGAGCATCGTCCCATGGACTGAGAAGTCCCAGTTCAATTCCTGGTCAGGGCACATGCCCAGGTTTCGGGCTCGATCCCCCGTAGGGTGTGTGCAGGAGGCAACCGATCTATACTTCTCTCTCACATCGTTGTTACTATCTCTCTCTCCCTTCCTCTCTCTGTAAAAAATCAATGAAAACATATATTTTTTAAAAGTATCTGTAACTAGAAAAATACATCAAGACTTTAACACTGAATAAAGGTGAGATGTGTATGGAGTGTTATATGTGTAAGGAAATACAGTTTAAAGAGAAAAAGAAAAAGGTTATTGGCAGGCATTTAAATGGAGGCATGGGAAGAGCACAAAGATAGAATACGGACAAGGGAATAACACGAGATTTGCTTCTCAGTCTAGCTGATGAATTTGTAAACATACAAACATAACATATAAAGAACATTTTGCAAATACAATTTAGGAACAGAGCCTAATCTGAGTAACTAAATGCAGAAGGAATGAAGAAGAAAGCAGTGATCAGAAGTGGAGGTAGTCAGGGAAAGCTTCTTTGCGGGAGATGACTTTTCATCTGTTTTTGAAGGAGTCCAGGAAGACAGAAAGAGAGGAGGTGCCTGGGAAGGTTTCATGGCAAAGGGAAGACCTGAGGATGGCACCACTAACCAGTATGTGTATGTGTCTCCCTTTCTATTTCTTTCTCCCTCCTCCCTCCTGTAGCTTGGAAGCTCGAAGTCTGGCTGTGGCCATGGGAGACACGGTAGTGGAGCCTGCCCCCCTGAAGCCAACTTCTGAGCCCACTCCTGGTCCACCAGGGAATAATGGGGGCTCCTTGCTAAGCGTCATCACGGAGGGGGTCGGGGAACTATCAGTGATTGACCCTGAGGTGGCCCAAAAGGCCTGCCAGGAGGTGCTGGAGAAGGTCAAGCTTTTGCATGGAGGTGTGGCCGTCTCTAGCAGAGGCACTCCACTGGAGTTGGTCAATGGGGATGGTATGGACAGTGAGATCCGCTGCCTGGACGATCCTCCTGCCCAGATAAGAGAGGAGGAAGATGAGATGGAGGCCACTGTGGCCTCGGGCACGGCCAAGGGAGCAAGAAGGCGGCGGCAGAACAACTCAGCCAAACAATCTTGGCTACTGAGGCTGTTTGAGTCCAAACTATTTGACATCTCCATGGCCATTTCATACCTGTATAACTCCAAGGAGCCTGGAGTGCAAGCATACATTGGCAACCGGCTCTTCTGCTTTCGCAATGAGGACGTGGACTTCTATCTGCCTCAGTTGCTTAACATGTACATCCACATGGACGAGGACGTAGGTGATGCCATCAAGCCCTACATAGTCCACCGTTGCCGCCAGAGCATTAACTTTTCCCTCCAGTGTGCCCTGTTGCTCGGGGCCTACTCTTCAGACATGCACATTTCCACTCAGCGACACTCCCGTGGGACCAAGCTACGGAAACTGATCCTCTCAGATGAGCTGAAGCCAGCTCACCGAAAGAGGGAGCTGCCCTCCTTGAGCCCAGCCCCTGACACAGGGCTGTCTCCCTCTAAAAGGACTCACCAGCGCTCTAAGTCAGATGCCACCACCAGTATAAGTCTCAGCAGCAATCTGAAACGAACAGCCAGCAACCCCAAAGTGGAGAATGAGGATGAGGTAAAATCCTTGGGAGGGACAGAGGGGCAAGGTGGCATGGAGACAGGATGTCTGACATAGGGTCACTGTCCTTTTCTCTCCTTCCCTCTGTTTCATTTCACTGATAAAAGCATGGAATGTTAGAATGGAAAAAACCCTTAGAATTCATGTATTCCAGCTGCCTCGTTTTACAAAGGAAGAACTCCGAGAGATAGAGTGACTTGTCTCAGGTTATATAGCCAATAGCAAGGCTGATACACCTGACTCTGCCAACGCTGTTTTTACTAAACTGCACTGCCATTCCATTAACTCCTTACTTACTGAGAATTGTGGCAGAGACACTCCCCACCCTGACTTGAGACCTGGGATATCTACCAGAACCTCTCACAGCAGCAGCCACAGGGAGGAGAAGGGACGATGTGTATGAATTTTGTGTGTGCTGGGGGAGGGGAGATGTTAAATAGAACCTCAGCTTCATTCTCCTGACCACTCCTCATAATTCCTCCCACTCCCCGAAGATCCTACTTTTTGTTTTCATAAGGGTAAGATTCATTCCCTATCACTGAGGCATCTGCAGAATGCCTGCTACCTGCATTTGGAAGGGATGTTGATCTTTCCCAAATCATTTAGGAGAAGCACAAAGGAAAGAAGGAAGCAATCTTGGTATAGAATAAATCTCGAACATACCCAGTGTCTAGAAAGAAGAGAGAGCTACAGTAGCCGTTGTGGATATCCATTTAGGATACAAAGGAGATAAGCACATCAGTAGGGACAGATAGCAGGGGAAGTTGCCCAGTGGACAACCAAGTGTCAGTGACCTGGTGTCCCAGCTAGACAATGGTGCCCCAGTTCCCCCCCTGACTCACCACCAGCCTGGCTCCCATCCTGGCTACCAGCCCAGCCTAAGAAAGAAGGGAGAAAAGAATGAGGAATTTGCACTTGTTGGAAAATGCATATAGCCATGGTGCTGACATCTTCCTCTGTGGGGTACATAACCCACCCACGTTTTTGATACAGTGGGACTTCTTTTAGCTAGAAGGAGGTCAGAGTGACTAGGGAAGGGAAAATGCAGGAGGGAAGGAGACTACAGAGCCTGCTTTCTCTGGAAACTCATTATTTTCTTATGATAATTTAATAGGCTAAAGAGCTAACATTTATTGAGTACTTATTATGTGCACATCATGTCAAGTATATATTTTTTTAAATCCTCTCCCAAGCATATTTTTCCATTTTATCTTCAGATAGAGTGGGAGGAAGAGAGAGAGAGCAAGATCGATGTGAGAGAGACACATCGACTGGTTGCTTCCTGCATGACCCCGACCAAGGCTGGGGACCAAACTGCAACCAAGGTACGTGCCCTTGACCAGAATCGAACCCACAACTCTTTGGGCCAATGTTCTAACCACTGACCCATACTGGCCAGGACACAAGTACTTTACACCAACCGTGACAGACAGGTTTATTTTACCACTCTGTAAACAGGCTTTGAGAAGTTAGAGGATTTGTCCAAGGTCTCTCAACTAGTGCATGCCAGACTAGGCCTCACATCACAGCTGGTGCTCCTAATCATTCAGCAGATCAATCTTGGTTGTTTCTCAACATCTGCTTTCCCTGGTTCTCAGCTGTCAGAGTCTGTCTGGAAAAGAACAGCCAACGCTTTATCCATCTTGGTTTCCATATCCATGCATAGGCAGAACTCAGCTGTTCTCAAAACCAAAAGGGACCATTTTCATTTCTGGTTGTGCTTGACAGGGAAGCCCAAGGTCATGAGGGTAGTTGTTGCAGAGCAAGAAGAATCATCCAGATCTGGAGGGACTAAGGTCATGAATGGATTGAGAGCTCTTCCTCTTGGGGTCAAGTCTAGCAGTATGAATGTGAGCACTGGGAATTGAATCCCTGGTCCCTCTTGTCAAGTTTGCCTTTTCTCTGTATATATTTTGTATTCTCATCTTAGCACCAGAAAGGGTGAAGCCTTAGGGCTTTTCTTACTCTGTGCTGATCCTCAGTTCCTCTTCCTTGGATCTTAACTCCTGCCCAGGTGGGATGATGGGTGACACACTGAGATGCAGGTATTTTGTGAGTGCCTAAATCCTCTAAGGAGGCCTCTCCAGCTGCCATTCTTTCCAACGTGGCTTCATTATGGTGGGACACTAGATCTAGGAAAGGCCTCCTAGGTTATCTGATGTTGGCCGAATGAGACACCTGAATCCACTGTGGCTCCTCAGGAAACATGAGAGTGAAAGTGAGAGAGAATAAATAGGAATATCACTAGGAGTCTAAACATTGGAATCTTCAGCACAGAGGTCTCTCCACACGCCTTTGGCATTTTGAGGATACATCTATCAAGGCCTTTGTCCCCCAAATACCAGTACATCTTCTCCCCTGTCATGCAATATATATTTGCTCAACAAATAGTTATTGAGCTTGTGCAATGTGTAAAGCCCTGTGCTAGGGGCAGTGGAGGATGGAAGATAAAGTGCTGTCCTCTCCAGGAACTTACAAGGTAATATGGAGACCCCATTATCTAGGGCACCGTTTAGTATGTGACTCTTGATTTTGTATCATGAAACTTTACTGAACTTATTCTAAGTTTTTTGGTGGAGTTTCTGACTTGTGAAAAGGTTTTCTTACATATAAGGAAGACATATACAGCTTACTAACACCAGGTGCATAATTATCTAAGGTCTGAGCAAAGACTCTGGAAGGAAAGGCTAGAAGGAGACCTGACACTCTGCTCCCATCCCTTGTTATCCCCCATGGATTCTGAAATTAATCTAATGCTCCTGCCACCAGTAGAGGTGCTCGGAGGGTGAGACCCAGAGAAGACCTGCAGTCTCCCTGCAGAGCTCTTCTCTGCTCAGACCTCACAGAGGCTCCTATTTTCTTTTAACGGGGTATCTTTTACCCTCTTCCCTACAATCAGAGCTCTAGCACTTTTTCTCCCCTCTCACATCCCCCAAATCCACACCTTCAAAGCAGTGTTTGTTTTTTTTAAAGAAAATCTTTTTTTTTTCTTTTTTTTTTTTAGAGCAAGGGGAAGGGAGAGAGAGAGATAAAAACATTGATGAGAGAGAACACCGATTGGCCATCTCTGCATGCTCCCCACTAGGGATCAGGCCCACAACCTAGGCATGTGCTCTGACCAGGAATCAAACCTGCGACCTCTTGATGCATGGGTGGATGCTCAACCACTGTCACACCGGCTGGGCTCAAAGCAGTTTTTATCTGCCTAGTCATGGAACTGTGCTCAGGTTTCCCTTCCCATTAGTAACCAAATGGTAAATCATTTGGCATAGGGTGGGGGCACAGTATGCCCCACCCCACACCCTGCCCCACAAAATGGCACTTGAGTGGATCAGCTTTGTCTTTTCAGGACTGTAACCTTTGTACAGAGAAATCTGCTGCATGTCACACTGGAAGCCCCAGTGGGCCTTCCAGCCCAATATGGTGTGATATCAGCTTCTTGGCCTCCGCTTTTTTCCTTGGAGCTGACTCAGTATGAGTGACTCAAATCTACAGAGTAGGAGAGAGGAGCCATCATGCTATACCTCCCCTCCCCCAAGGCTGTTAATGAGTCAGACAGGACCTGTGTATGGGAGAATCAGCTGGATCATTGCTCAGAGAGCCAGGATCCTGCCTGTTATTCCTTCCCCGACCAGTTCATGGGTAGAAATTGAACAACTAAGTCGTAATAGATTTTGGTATCCTCACTGCTTCAGTTCTCCCTCCCACTTCCACCCAAAGCAGAAGAGTTGTTGCCTTGGGAGTGTTTGGCTTGGCTTCTTCCCTCAGAGTGCCTCTCTCCCCAGATTCTTCAGGGAAAGGCCTGACTATAGAACCTCCAGCCAAAATAGGACTTATACCATGGAACTGAATTAAGTAGATGCTTGAAATGCTAATTGCAGAGTAGGGGCTCTGACCACTGCCCTCCTGCCCTGGGAACTTCCAGGACTTTGTCCCTTAAGTTCAGGCCCCTCCCCTCCTGCAGGTTTGTGCACAGGCACTGCCCCTTCTCCCTGCTCTGGGAGAGCTTGTTGCACAGAACCCAGGATGGGCCTGTGCACGAGCTGCAGCAGAGCTAGAGCCACTAAAGGAGAGTTTGACCACTGGCCCTTTCCTCCGTTTTGCTCACAGATCCCAGTAAGACACAGGAATGGGCAAGGTTTAGATAACCCCCCTGGGCTGGGACTAGGGAAGCTGCTACTTAGCAGCTCACCTTTCACAGATTTAGTAAGCAAGGACCTAGCTCCCAACTTACGGCAAAAAAAATTGTAATTATTGTTATGTAAAATGGCCTGATAGGATGCCTGTGGAGGTTTGATAGATAGGAAGGGTATCCATCCTTTACTCCAGCAGCATCTAGCCCAGAGATTTCATACTCACAGGTTTGTGGTACCCCTTGTCACATGGTTTAAGGTTGGGATGAGGCTTCCCAGGATGATGACGCTAACTTGAGGAGATATACCTGGCACTGAGTTTAACTCTTCTGCTTCCTCTTTGATGTTTCTAAGAAGCTGGAGGAACACAGTATGAGGCCATGCAGCTTGTTAAATTCAGTCCCTCTGTGGTGGCCTCCAGGGAGAAGGGTTTATTTGAAAGCAGGATTACCTCCCTAAGGGTCCCGGCTTTAGGGTTTTGTCCCAGGAGGAAGATTTCTTGCAGGCAAGAATAGAAGGGTGAAAGTGTAAACAGAGGCAGTTGTCTCTTCAACTCTTCTGACCTCAAGGTCTGAGCTTGCCTTCCAGCCTTTCCCACAGTGTCAAGAATCTGGGCAAGTGGCATTTCTAGGTCGACTTTCTTTCATTAAAGCAGAAAGGTAGAGCTACACAAGAGAAGCAGGTATGATCCAAGTTGGACCTAAATTCTTTGCCTTTGTCTCTCTCCCCTCCCTCCCTGCCCCCTTCTTCTCCCCTTGCCCTCTGGCCCTTTCCCAGGAGCTCTCTTCCAGCACCGAGAGTATTGATAATTCATTCAGTTCCGTAAGTGGGGCCAGGCTGGGACTGGGTGGCAGGCCCCCCCCATGGCCGCATTTCCTCTCCGTCCCCAGGTCTTCTGAGTCCCCAAACCAAGGTTGGAGTTAAAAGGTGCCTTTTCTTCCTAGGAGATCAGCCCCTCCCTCCCAGGTCTCCCAGACCTGGAGGAGTCCCCTGCCTATCACCAGTGCCCTGAGCCCAGGCTCAGTGGGGCTCAGTTGATCCTTTTCCCAAAGACAGCTGGGATGCAGTGTGATTTAGCCTCCTCCAGCTCCTGGGTCTCTAGATCAAACAGCTGGGAGAGAGGTCAAATTTACCCCTGGACTGATGCCAACAACCGCTTGGCAGAAACCCCCAGGATCCTGTTTCTTCCACCCGGGACCCTTTCCCCATGGCTTCTGCCGTCAGACCATCAAATATTTATTCAGTGTTTTCTAAATGCTAGGCCCTGTGCTGGGTGAGCTGATTCCAAAAGCATACAAGATTTGGCCTGAAGGGAAGTTTTACCTCCCCACAGCCCATTTTCTTTTTAACTTCAACCACATTTCTTCCAGGTCTGAGTTCCCTTTCCCAGCTCCCTGCCCAGGATGTTCCTTAATCATCATTCTCTTTTCTTGTTGCCTCTGGACTAACCCCTGACCCTCTGGTCCCACAGGGTCTTGGACCTTGTTGCTGGGCAGAGACGTGAGAGGAAATGCTGGACCGACCCTGTGGGAGTTTGGATGATTTTTTTTACATTTTATTTTTGATTTGTCTACCCAATCCGTTTTCTCTATTCTGTGCTGATCCCCTTTTAATCATGATTCCTATCTCCTCCCATGTGGCAGAGCCTGTCTCTGGAGGCCTGCGGTCACATTTTCAACATGTTCATGTAACTTAGGGGCCCCCGACCCAAATGCTGATTTGAAGATGGGAAGGAATTCTGCCTTTTGAAATCTGAGATGACTGAATTGGTTGGGGTGGAGGATCCTTGGGACAGTGACAATTTGCCACCTGAGTGGATGGATTAGGGGATCAGGATGAATGAAGAAGTGAGTCCTCTTCCTTTCTTTCTCTTTCTCTGTTAGGCCCCTGAGGTATTTCAGGGACCACAGAAGCCTAGTTCTACTGTCTTCCTGTATCTCTTTTCAAGCCTGCTTCCCAAAGCATTTGTGACTGATTTAGATACCCTATTTATTATTGTGGGGCCCCAGAGCTAGCCGCCTGTCGGGTCGAGGCTGAGAGATGAGCTGTTCCTTTGAACTGGCTCTAAACACATGCAGAGGTGGGCCTGGTACTGCCCAGCTTTCAAAAGAAGCTCTTTTTTGCAGTTTGAGGGAGTGAGGGTAGAAATCTTCAATCAGGAAACTAAGCGAGACACACAGAGAGGGAGAAAAATGTCTGGTGAGTGAAATGCTGTTTCTATGAATGGAGGAGATAATTGTTCTTATCTAGCTGAGGGGAGATGGGATGGGGACCTGGGTGGCTATCTTGATAAAGTGCCTCTTAAGGTAGAAGGAATTAGGGAAAAGAGCCCCTCTTCATGTCTAGCTGAGTCCATCTTTTCCCTCACCTCACTCCCCAGACTCACTTTGCCCTTTCTGGGAATGAATGAAATGCCAGGCATGAGGAGCCAAGCTTACAACAGGGAGCCAATATGGGACCCTAGTCCTGAGAGGTAGGGGAAGAGGACCCAAGAATGAATCATGGGAAAAGGACAGGCCTTCAGGGCCATCATTGAGGAGTGAAAGGAGTTACTGCTTTCCCCACCCACCTGCCCACACCAGCCTTCTTCCATCTGCTTTTTCTTTTCCCATTGATCATTCCCTAATTAATCCCAAATCTGCTCATCCTCGTCTCATCCCCTGCATGCGCACTGAGCTCTTGTAAGAGATCGTGGGGTGGACGGGGATACTATGTAAAGCAACAAAAGTCATTTGAATGGAGTGAGGCCTTCCTCCTTTGAAAGGGAACTATTGACTTGGAGCTCCCCTCCCGAGCCATGGGCCCTGGCAGAGCCCCAGCCCAAGGATCCAGGTGGGGAGAAGAACACCCCATTCTCAAGACGGGTGAAGCAGCTGTTCTCTCCGGGGCCCTGTAACCTCTCTGGATATTGTCCCTTGGACCCATCTTGAAGCCTTGGAAGAGTTTCTGAGGGACTCGAGCCCAGGAGAAGAGGGGTGCATCCCAGTAACCTGGATTCACATTTCCTTTACCCTCAGTAAACAGCCTATGGAAAAGGAATGTGCTGGCTCTTTCACCTGTTCCCAGTTCAAGTTGCCGGGGAAGGTGGGGGGGTCTCCTACTAGGGTTGGAAAGTAGCTCCTTCCCTGGAGTTCTCCAGACACTGGGATCCCTGGCCTGCGTGGCCAGGAGTGACTGAGTGGGTGGGCCGCTCTTTGCTATGGTTTCCTTACCGTCTTTTACTGCACCCCTACCTCCTATAGCCTGTCAGACTGGCTCCTGAGCGAGAATTCATCAAGTCCCTGATGGCAATAGGCAAGCGGTTGGCCACACTCCCCACCAAGGAGCAGAAAACACAGCGGCTGATCTCAGAGCTCTCCCTGCTCAACCATAAGCTCCCTGCCCGAGTCTGGCTGCCCACTGCCGGCTTTGACCACCACGTGGTCCGCGTACCCCATACCCAGGCTGTTGTCCTCAACTCCAAGGACAAGGTAGGTGGGCTCTACTCCATGGTTGTGTAGGATTTGTGCCTGTGCCGATATGCCCCACCAGCATCCCAGACTCCTTCATGGTTCATGGGCACGTGTCCACCTTGACTTGACCTCATGCTGTTGTGATTCTGAGGGCCCTCTTGTTCCCCTTCTTGGGCTTTGTTTTTCTGGATCACAGAGGCATGATCTTTCCAGCTCACCTCTTGCTATGTCTCAGGAGAGAGTCACTCTCCACCCCTCCTTACCAGTCCTTTTGGTAGCTCTTTAGCAGCCCTCTATAACTTGTAGACTCTCTGGGTATAGCAACATGAGAATAGAGAAATCTTTTGTTTCTAAAACTTTTTCTGAATAGAGTGGGCAAGGAGGAGAGAATTAGCCTTATTCACATTGGAGAGAATTAGCTAAATTTGTCTGCTGGTTGGATTTTTCTTTTAGAAGTATTGAAGATTAGAGCCCTGCTTGGGACAGTGCCCCACTTTTTCCTAGTATTTTTGTCTTTAGGACAAGTCCCCAGAGGCTTCCACTGATGGGTTAGAAATGATAGTTTGGAGTAGTTTTACCCAAGTGCATCATCTACACATTTTGAAGCTCAGCTGAACCATTTTGAAGACGTGGGTGCATAGGACAAGTTCCTACCCTATATATGGTGTTCATAGTGTAAGGGGACTAATGGTTGAGGGGTGAAGCTAGGAGTGGGCAGCAGGAAGAACTATGTTAACAGAGTTGAGATTTGGGGGACAGTGGTACAAGTGAATTGCAAATACTTTTCTCACTTTCCCCAGGCTCCCTACCTAATCTATGTGGAAGTCCTTGAATGTGAAAACTTTGACACCACCAATGTCCCCGCTCGGATCCCTGAGAACCGAATCCGGAGCACACGGTCTGTAGAGAACCTGCCCGAATATGGTATCACCCATGAGCAGCGGGCAGGCAGCTTCAGTACTGTGCCCAACTATGACAACGATGATGAGGCCTGGTCAGTGGACGACATAGGAGAGCTACAGGTGGAGGTGAGAGAGCTCAAGGAGGTAATACTAGAGCACAACACCTATTCTCCAGAAGCTTCCAATGAATTTGAGACAAGACAACACACCCTGAAGCAGGCTGAGGCAGGCGCCCAAATGTGAGGGGGAGGTAGTAAGGGATATGAAAGGGGGAAGCGCTGAGCAGCTTCAGTCTGGAGTAGATTTAGATATAGCTAATTTTCCTGCAGGAGGAATTTAGGTTAAATGTAAGGAGGGACTTCTAAGTTGAGAGTGAGAGAAATTGAATCAAAATATTTATTGAACACCTGCTATATAAATTTGTTTTAGGAAAGCAGAGAATGGTAAATTATCCATTCACTGAAGAACTATTTATGGAGGGCCGTCTTTGTGCCAGCCCTGAATGCCATGTGCTGGTGGACAAGACCTGGCCCCTGCCTGCAAGGAGTTCTGACCTAATAGGAGAGAGTAGAAGACCAGTCAGCAAATAGTTGTGGTATGGTGTGATCCAGGTTATGCTGGAGGATGGGGAATTATGAGAGCACCTGATCGGGGAGGGGGGCGGGTAGCATTTACTTCAGACTTGGAGTTGGACACACCCCAAAAGATTTCCTGAAGGAAGTAATATCTCAGCTGAGGCCTAAAGATGGGTATGAATTGCCTGGGCAGTGTTCAGGCAGAAGGATAGCATGTGCAATGACTGGAAGACAGGAAAGCTTGGCTCATCTTAGGAACTGAAAGAAATTTTGTGTGATGTGTGAAGTGGTGACAAATGAGGCTGGAGAGGCCGGCACAGGCCAGATGGAGGCAGGATCCTGTAACCCGCGGAAAGAAACGTGGAATGTATTCTGGGGTTGTATGGAGCCAGAGAAGGGTTTTATGTAGGGCTGTGACACAAACAGATCTCACTTTGGGAAAAGACAGACTCTGTCCTTGAGCTTACAGTCCACTTGGGGAGACTGGACACAGACATTTAAGAAAATAACGTAAGAGCCCTGGCCGGTTTGGCTCAGCGGTTAGAGCGTCGGCCTGCGGTCTAGTGAGACCTGGGTTCAGTTCCCACTAAGGGCACGTACCTCGGTTGCAGTTTGTCCCTGGCCCTGGTTGCCTGGTTGGTCGTGTGGGTGGCAGCCACTTGATGTGTCCCTTTCACGTTGATGTTTCTCTCTCTCTCTCTCTGTTCCTCTCTCTCCTTCCCACTCTATCTGAACTAGAGAGGAAGAGGAAATTAGATTGAAGAATCTAGTCTGGAGAGTCTGTTCTGGACTCTAAGGGAGGATGCATACCTAGCCTTGGGGAGCTCTCAGTATAAGACTGAAAGTTTGCTTTTTGGTGGTCACAGTAGTGGTCCCAGCTGGAGTGGCTTGGTTGGAGCAGCGTCTTTGATACCAAAAGGTTGCAGGTTTGATTCCCAGTCAGGGCACATTACCTGGGTTGTGAGTTCCATCCCTGGTGAGAGTAGGTACAGAATTGATGTTTCTCACATCTCTCTCTCTGTCTCTCCCTCTCTTATTCCCTCCCTTCCTCTCCCCCTCCCCCTTCCTCTCTCAAAGCAGGTCCTTGAGGGAGGATTTGTGTGTGTGTATGTGTGTGGTATGTGCCCCTAGTGGGAACCAAATCTGGGACTCTCTGGTCCACAGGCTGACGCTCAACCACTGAGCCAAAATGGCCAGGGCTGAGGGAAGATTTTTTTAAAAAATTTTAGACTTCCAGCCCTGGCCGGTTTTGCTCAGTAGTTAGAGCGTCGGCCTGCGGTCCAGAGAGTCTCGGGTTAGGTTCCCTCTAAGGGCGCGTACCTCAGTTGCAGTTTGTCCCCAGCCCTGGTTGGTCGTGCGGGTGGCAGCCACTCGATGTGTCCCTTTCACATCGATGTTTCTCTCTCTCTCTGTTCCTCTCTCTCCTTCCCACTCTATCTGAACAAAAAGTGGAAAAATGTCCTCGGGTGAGGATAAAAAAAAAATTTTTTTTAATAAAAAAATATAAAAAAAAAATTTTATACTTCCAGATCCATTTCTAATAATTCTACTCCAGATTGATGGTGCCATATGGAAATCTGGTTTTACCAGCATTCCAGGTGTTTCTAATATAGGTAGATCCCACTTTGAGAAACACCACTGTAGGGCCTGTGTGATTGGTTAGGCAGTTTGGAGTCCAGGTAATCAGGATGGTGTGTAACCAGGGAGACTGTATGGAGCAGGTAGGAAAAGAGGGAAGAAGCACCAGCTTTTGTTTAATCTATATCCAGTTTAGACCTAAACATGATCATGACATGCAGATAGAAATCACTCAGGGTGCATTGCAGAGGAGGTGAAAGAGCCGAGACCTGTGCCTAGTGTTTTCTGACCTACCGTCCCCTGCTCTTTCCAGCTTCCTGAAGTGCACACCAACAGCTGTGACAACATCTCCCAGTTCTCTGTGGACAGCATCACCAGCCAGGAGAGCAAGGAGCCTGTGTTCATTGCAGCAGGGGACATCCGGTATGGCCTGACCACACTGCCTCTCTCTTCTTCCTTTCTGTCAGCCTGTGTCTTTCCCTTTTCTCTCTCTTTACTGTTCTTGTCCTGAGGCCACCAAACTTGAAGCAATGAAGGTGCAGGTGGAGAAATTACTGGGCTACTACAGAAGGAAATTAAATGTTAAAAGGACTCCAAAGGGAGGAATTAGAGCAGCATTTCTCAGAGTGGGTCTGAGGACTACACATCAGAACCAGGGAAGAGAGACCTTGTTGAAAACGCAGATACTGGAGCCATAGCTGTTCCGAACCAGAATCTTGGTAGAGGAATGGGGAGGACCTGGTGATCTGCGTTTTGTATCATGATTCCAAACCACCATGTTAGCAAAAAGGTATCAGTATCTGTCTGTGCCTAGAATCAAGGAAACAGTGCAGGAAAAGCTGCCATAGACAGAGACCTGAAGCTCAGGGGTAACTCTTCCAAGCAAATGGTATCGTTTCTTCCTACTAGACGGCGCCTTTCGGAGCAGCTGGCGCACACGCCCACAGCCTTCAAACGAGACCCAGAAGACCCTTCTGCAGTTGCTCTCAAAGAACCCTGGCAGGAGAAAGTACGGTGAGTTGGGTGGGGGGCAGGGTGTCTCTAGCCCTCTCAAAGCTTGGAGGCAACTGCATGTACTCACTGCACCATCCCACTGTCCCTCAGGCTCCCCCCCAAATCCATCAGGCTCCCAGGTGGTCTGAGTAGTTCTAGGGAGTTTGATTTGGAGTTTTGGTAGTTGTGTCTCTGTCCTCACCTTGGCACCTTTTGCTTCTCTACACAGGCGGATCAGAGAGGGCTCCCCCTATGGCCATCTCCCCAATTGGCGGCTCCTGTCAGTCATTGTCAAGTGTGGGGATGATCTTCGGCAGGAGCTGCTGGCCTTCCAGGTGTTGAAGCAACTGCAGGTAAGAAAAGGGAGGGATCCCAGCTGGTGTAGCTCAGTGGATTGAGCATCCTCCCATGGACTCAGAGGTCCCAGTTCAATTCCCAGTCAGGGCACATGCCCGGGTTTCAGGCTCAATCTCCAGTAGGGGGCATGCAGGAGGTAGCCAATCAATGTTTCTCACATGGATGTTTCTATTCTCTCTCCCCTCCTCTCTAAAAAAGCAATAAAGTCCGGCCGGTGTGGCTCACTGGTTGAGCATCGACCCATGCACCAAGAGGTTGCCGGTTCGATTCCCAGTCAGGGCACATGCCCAGGTTGTGGGCCCGATCCCCAATGTGGGGCATGCAGGAGGCAACCAATCGATGTTCTCTCTCATCAATGTTTCTCTCTCTCTTCCTCTCTCTCCCTCCCACTCTATCTGAATAAAAAATGGAAAAATCTCCTTGGGTGAGGAGAAAAAAAAAAAAGAAAAGAGCCCTGGTCGGCCTGCGGACCAGACAGTCCTGAGTTCAGTGCCTGCTAGGGGCACGGACCAAAAAAAAAAAAGGAGGGAGAGAGAAGAGGAACTCAGTCCAACTGAAGCCCACCTGAGGTGACCACACAGGTTGTTCTGCAGCAAACTTGACTGAGGACCAGCTTCCTGCCTAGGTCTAAACTGGATATAGATTAAACAAAAGCTGGTGCTTCTTCCCCATTATTTCCCCAAGTACAGCCACAAAAACAGCTGCACAGCGACCTCTTGTGGTCCTTTTGTGATTTGTACCCACTCTGATCGATGAACTTCAGGGTGCTGCTGGCTTTGTCAAAACTCCCATCTGACAAAGACAACAGTATGATGATTATCAGAGGAAAGTGGGGGGAGGAGGTAGAAGAGGTTAAAGGGGGGATAAATGGTGACAGGAGGAGACTTGACTTTGGGTGGTGAACACACAATACAATATACAGGTGATGTATAATTTTATTAACCAATGTCACCCCAATAAATGCAATACAAATTAAATGAATAATCCCATCTGGTCTTGATAAATGGGTTGCAGTGTGCTGAGATGTCAGTCCCCTGAGCCTCTGGGTTGGTCGCCTGCCAGCAGCTTCACCTGTTTAATCCAGTTCTTTATATAAATATTTTCATTTTCTAAGTAAGTTTTCTGTGGACCTAAATCCTTTTTCACCTTTTCCTTATTCTTTGAATTTGGATTAATAGCTTCCTCTCGCTGCTTGTGTTGTTTCCTGTTCTCCCTGCCTTTTGGGGACTGTCTACCTATGAGATGCCTTTTCCACATACCTCACTGTGTCTTGTCAGGCCCTGGATTTTTCTTTAAAAGTGGGTTTTACTCCCCTGAACACCTAGGATCCAAGGACACCAAAGTGGGAATTGTACAAGGTTGGGGATACAGGAGGATTTTAGCCTCCTCCTTCCATTTGAATGAAAGATGATGGTCCCAGTGCTTCTGTGTCTTCTTGCAGTCCATTTGGGAACAGGAGCGAGTGCCCCTGTGGATCAAGCCATACAAGATTCTTGTGATTTCGGCTGACAGTGGCATGATTGAACCAGTGGTCAACGCTGTGTCCATCCACCAGGTGAAGAAACAGTCACAGCTCTCCTTGCTCGATTACTTCCTGCAGGAGCATGGCAGTTATACCACTGAAGCATTCCTTAGTGCCCAGCGCAATTTTGTGCAAAGCTGTGCTGGCTACTGCTTGGTTTGCTACCTGCTACAAGTCAAGGACAGGTAGGTAAATTCCTGCCCCCTCATCCTAACCTTTATTCCAGGATTATCTCTGTCCCTTCATGTGTAGTTCTCATATACTTCATCACCACTTTCCACTACCAAGATGTAAAAGTTGAAACAACATGCTTTAAGCAGAACCAGACATGTTTACATGCTATTAAGCCAAGCAGACAGACTGACAAGTCCTAGGGTAAAGGAGCAAACACGTGAAGGATTTATGGGAGAAGCAGGGATTTAAGCGAGCAGACTCTTGAAGGATAAAGGAGAATGAGGGCAGAGAAGGCTGTGGGGGAAGGATGCTCCAGGCAGAGGAACAAGTCGGTGTGATTAAAGCTTGGGCTGGTTCTGGCCAGGTAGCTCAGTTGGTTAGAGTGTTGTCCCAGTATGCCAAGATTGTGGGTTTGATCCCCAGTCAGAGAACATACAAGAATCAACCAATGGTGCAGTTTGTCCCCGGCCCTGGTTGGTCATGCGGGTGGCAGCCACTCGATGTGTCCCTTCACATCGATGTTTCTCTTTCTCTCTCTTCCTCTCTCTCCCTCCCGCTCTATCTGAACAAAAAAATGGAAAAATGTCCTCGGGTGAGGATAAAAAAAAAAAAGAATCAACCAATGGCCTAGCTGGTGTGGCTCAGCAGTTGAGTGTTGACCCAGGCACCAAGAGGTTGCTGGTTCGATTCCTGGTTAGGGCATATGCCCAGGTTGTGGGCCTAATGTCCAGTTGGGGGCATGCAGGAGGCAGCCAATCGATGTTCTCTCCTCCCTTCCTCTCTCTCTAAAAATCAATAAAGAAAAAAAAATTTAGCCCTGGCCGGTTTGGCTCAGTGGTTGGAGCTTCGCCCACAGACCAATGCGTCGCAGGTTCAATTCTGGTCAAGGGCACGTACCTCAATTGCAGTTCGTCCCCAGCCCTGGTTGGGGTTGTGCGGGAGGCAGCCACTCAATGTGTCCCTTTCACATTGTTTCTCTCTGTCTCTCTCTCCCTCCCACTCTGAACAAAAGTGGAGAAATGTCCTCGGGTGAGGATTTAAAAAAAAAATTTAAGAGGATTCTTTTTTAAAAAATCAAATAATGAATGCATAAGCAAGTGGAACAACAAACCAATGTTTCTCTGTCTCTCTCTCTCAATAAATAATAAAGAAAATTTAGGAAAAGCTTGGGCTCTGCTGCCTGGCAGGAGACTAGTAGGCAGTGATGTCAAACAGGTAAGTAGAGGGCAGATTAGAAGGGCCTTCACAATGAGGCTGAGGAGTTTTATTTTGCAGGTGGAGGAATGACATGCCCCAGTCTCTGTTTAGTAAGTGCACCTTGTGGTGCTGAGTGAGGTTGGGTATAGTTAGGCCTTTAGCAACAAAGCAGAAGGTAATGAGTCCTGACCTGAGGGAGGTGGTAGTGACAGAGCAGAAAGGAGAAGGTGGATATGAGAGGCATTGTGGAGATAAAGTTGAAACTCCCAGCCCTGAAATCTCCTTTTATTCCAACATATGATCTTGAAAACTTTTAATTATTTATTGCTTTGCCCAGAGCTGTCATTTCCAATATCACATAACCTTAATGAAGCCCAGTTTCGCCTATAGGTGAACAACATATCATACAAAAATAATTCCACCCTGACAGTGACTCAGGGTCAGTATCCCGAACGCTCCTTTGAGTTACACCTTTCACAAGGCAGAGGGAGCTGCCTGGGAAGGCAGAAATACAGTGGCCCGAGCTTCCAGAGCTCCCAGTGACATGGCGGCACTTTTAAGATCTGGCTAACAAAGCAGCTTACCAGAAGTCTAGCAATTATTAAGTGCCTGCCATGGCCTGACATCTTTATAGCGAAACCAGCTGAAAACCCTGTCAGACAGGTGTTTCCTATGCGGGAAATGAGGGTCAGGGAGCTTTCAGAACCTGTGCTTATTCCACCTGGTCAGCCCTACAAATGAACCATGTGGAGGCTCTGTATTTAAGGGCTAAAAGGAAATGCAATTATTTATTTAGGAATTTGGTTACAAGCTGTATACTGTCCCTAAAGAGTCAGGGTTTTGAATCCAAGGCCCAGAGGGCCTAAAATCGAGCAGCAGGATTAAGTAATGGGTGGCAGGGAAGCAGGTGCTGGTCAGGCCTCTGGGCTTTCCCTTAGGAAACAAAGCTATATGGAAGATTAGAGTCTATTATTTAAAAAGGTGAGGGAAAGGATAGACAGCTGAGCAACCTTTCGTAATAACTCAAAAAAGAACAGATGTAGTCAAGCCATGAATGGAATCAGCCAGTGGAAAGAACTGGCAATAATGCACAGGGCTCCAAACTGGAAGCAGGTCTAAGATCTCTGTAACTGCTTCAGAATGAGACCTCAACTATCTCCAGCAGTTAAGAAGAGGGCGAAACTGCTCTCACTGGCCTTAGGACCCTGAGCAGCTAAGTACTTCTCTCGGGGCCTGTTCCTTCACCTGTAAAATGAGAGGCTGAGCTAAGACATCTAGAACCTTTCTGGCTCTGAAGGTTGTGCATTTGTGGCTATATGTGTAGAGCTTCCCCAGAGTAGAAAGGACTCAGGTGTGACTGGGTTATCCTTCTGTCCCTCCTTTTTTGGCCAGTCAGACCAACCCCAGAGGAGATGGCCCTTAGACCTTGAGCTGTAGCCTAACAAAGGCTCTATTGATACTGAGGAGGTTGGTTATCCTGAATGGGCCAGGCCTTGCATGCTTAGCATGTTAATTGTTCCTCCTTCCACTGGCCATTCATTTGGGAATCACAAAGACCTGGACTCATCTTCCTTTAACTGTCTTCTTCCTGCAGCAGACCTGTGGTCATTGCAGCCTGAGATTTCTTACTGTAGTGACGTTACCAGATAGTTCAAACTTACCCTTGAAGACCCCACACTATTTTACATTTAAACTCCTTCCAGCCTGCCACTCCCTTCTGGTGGGGCTCTGATCTGCTTGGGCTGATGGGAATTCCAGATAAAATACAGGTAACTAGGTGCTGGCTGGAGCCTGAAGCTTTCTTCCCTTGCTTCTAGGTTTTCTACTAGATTGGGATCTGTTTGTGTGATAGAATTACAATTTTTGGAAAATTGGGATAATCTTAAACTATTTATTGTCAATAAAAGCAATTTCAGACCCCACAGCCTTTGTTAGCAGTTTACTTTTCTGATTTACTGTTTCTGCTGCTAGCTTTAGGTCGTAGGAGGTTGGACTCAGCTATAGGCAGCAGGAAGCATGGCAAGGGACTCCCTCCCCTGCATGGTATCATGTGGCCAATGTGTTGCAGCTTGAGGCTGCCACCTCAGTCAGACTTACTACTGCCTCTTCTTTTCCTTTGCCCCTCCTCAGACACAATGGGAACATCCTTTTGGACGCAGAGGGCCACATCATCCACATCGACTTTGGCTTCATCCTGTCTAGCTCACCCCGAAACCTGGGCTTTGAGACGTCAGCCTTTAAGCTGACCACAGAGTTTGTGGACGTGAGTCAGGAAGGAGAGGTGCCTCACTGTGTTCTTTCTGTCATGGGAGGGGGAGCTGGTGGGCTCCCCCAAAATTACGGACAAACAGAACAGAAATGGCAGTAAGTCAGGGTGAGGCTGGATATCCTGGGAGGCTTCCTACCTGCTGAGAGAGTTGGGAAGTAATGGGGTTTAGCCTGTTTGCCCTGATGGAGGAAGGAGTTCTGGCTGGCTGGGGGGTACAGTGAGCCTTTATACCCACAGCTTTCTCCTCTCTCAGGTCATGGGGGGCCTGGATGGCGACATGTTCAACTACTACAAGATGTTGATGCTGCAGGGGCTGATTGCTGCTCGGAAACACATGGACAAGGTGGTGCAGATCGTGGAGATCATGCAGCAAGGTGGGACTGGGCAGAAGTCAAATTTTGGGATAGGGCGGTACCCAGCATGGAATTTTTAGGAAGTTCATTTCACCTTGAAACTCCAGGCGGGCAGAGGTTCCCAGGGCGTTTCCAGCTCTGATCCAGTGCCGTTTTTCCTTCGGGACATGCCTCCTGACAGAGCTAGGTCCTGGGGGTAGACGGGCGGAGGCCCCAGAAACTATGTCCTAGGCACACTCAGGGAGAGGACAGTCCCTTCTCCAGCCTTTTGGCCCCTTCCCATGTCCCCATGCCTGTCCAACTCTAGTTTCTGTCTCCTATCACTCAGCTCTGGACCAGCTCAGGTGTTTCTAGTCATCACTTTCTTGCCCACTGGGCTTTGACCTTCAGTTGCTCTATCCTCTGGCATTTTCCCTATCCTGATACCTCTCCTCCTCCATCGTCTCTATTCTGTGTTTGGCCCTCACTGCCTTGTCATCTGGTCTTTCTCCAGGTCCCTTCTCTCCCAGCCTTCTGGGCCCTTGTCCCCACCCCCTTCCTGAAGGCTGCAGTGTACATCCAGTCTGAGCTGCCAGTCTCCTCCTCCTCCCCATCCCTGCCCCCACCCCACAGGTTGTCGCCGTTGCTCAGGAGCATCCCTGTCTGGCCCCATGACGACGGTGGCCCAGGTCATCTGTGAGTGTCAGACGTAGCATAGGCAGAGCCCTGCAAATCAGATAAGTGCCCAGCTCAGGGCCCATTCCCTAGAACCTCTTCCAGCCTTTCCCCTGGGTCCTAAGATTCTGCTCCCTCAGCCGTTACTGGGGAGATGTGGTGGTGGCCCTCTGCCCTCCTCTACCCTCATGCCCTCACCTAGAAGGGTTCAGGAGTGTGGCACGAAGATGGTCAAGACAGGGCCTCCTGCCAGTTCTCCCATCTCTGCCCAAGCAGAACTGCATCCACATGCTCAGGGGTCTCAGGTTTTTGCTGTGGTTGTTACCACTGCACCTCCCTCCTTTCCTCCCATGACCCTCTGCCCTCACTGCCTCCACCAGGTTCTCAGCTTCCTTGCTTCCATGGCTCCAGCACCATCCGCAACCTCAAAGAGAGGTTCCACATGAGCATGACTGAGGAGCAGCTCCAGTTGCTGGTGGAGCAGATGGTGGACGGCAGCATGCGGTCTATCACCACCAAACTCTATGACGGCTTCCAGTACCTCACCAACGGCATCATGTGACACCCTCTTTCTCAGGCCCCAGAGTGGTGGGGCATTCAGGGGACCCTCCCTGGGAGAAACTCCACCCACCCATCCACCCACCCATGGGAAATGGAAGGCAAGAAATACAAAGGATCATGTGGTGACTGCAGAGCTTGCCAGGGGGAGCCAGCTGTGGGGTCCAGACTTGTTGGGACTTCCCTGCTCCCAGTGGTGTCGGTATTATCACCTGACAGACTCCAGGACCCACTGCCCTCCCTCACCCCCCCCCCCCCGAGAGGTGACAAATGTGGTTACTGGGCCTTTGTTCTCACCAGGGTCCGAGAGGTTCTTTCCACAGGCCATCTTAATCTGTTCTGGGTCCCAGGAAGGGAGAAGAGTGGGTTCTTGGTACTTAGGACTTGGTCCTGTGGTTTGCCTTTGGCCATGCTGCTGCCTGATTCTGTTCCCTCCCAGGGACTGACTCGTAGCCCGAGATCCCCTTGGAAGGTGGGCCCTGGCACAGGGTCCCGCGCTTGCTGAGGTTCCCCATCACAGGGGCCAGGAAGGGTTATCACAACCCCTCCAATATGTGAGGGTATTGGCCTAGCCACAGGGAATTCCTTGCCCTGATCCCTTCCCCACACCCAGGGAAATAGCTCTCAATTTTTAAATTTTTGTTTGAAATAAAGTCCTTAGTTAGCCATCTGTGTCATTTCTGAGTTGTATTTTTTGGAGGGTGGGGGTGAGTGATGAGGAATGAACAGATGCTTCAGTGTCCAAGACACAGAACGGGCCACATAGAACAAGGGGGAGGAAGACTGCTTTTTCCTTGCTCCCTTGCTCAGTGCTACCTCTTCCCAGAGAAAGGCCTCCCCAATTTGACTCTCACCCACTCCCAAGTCCACGTTGTCCAAGTCACATAAAAGGAGCCTGAATGGGGATTAAACCACGAGCAGTTTTAATGGTCTGGTTTTCTCCTTCCCATTTCCCCCACTGTTAGTATTATTACTACAAGAATAAAGGATTCCTGAGAGCCTGTCCCCTCCTCTCCCTGGACCTCCCTTGACAGGACTCGTCCCTACACACCCCCCGGAATTTCTGGGGGGAAAAAAAAAAGACAAGTGAAAGGCACTGTAGGGGTGGGGGGCTTGAGTGCCAGGGAGTCTAAGAGGGGGTACTAGGGCAGGGCCAGACCTGAAGTCTACCTGTAGGGGCTGTGGAGTGTGACTGACTGCCCCAGCACTGATCTTTACTTGGACCTGTCTAGCAGGCCTAAGAAAGTCCCGTCCTCCCACCCCCAGTCCCACACAGGATCTGCAGCAGGAGCGTAATTAGTGTTGGGCTAAGAAAGGAGGAATGGGGGGCCCACTCTACTAGGACCCAAGGGCCAAAACCAAAGTGGGGACTGCAAATAACTATAATGCTCAAGTCTGTTGTCTCTGGGGATTGGGGGAGAGGAGTTGAACAAAATGTGAATCATAGTGAAACTCCCCAGCCTGGGGACCAGGCAGCAGCAGTGACCCAGACTCCCGGGGAAGAGGGAGGGGGCCAGTCAGTCCAGGTCTGGGGCTTAGTTGTCCCCACTGCCCCCTTGCCGAGCCCTGATGAATGCCATGCCGTGTGTGCGGAAATGGGTCTTGAGGTTGAGAGGGCTGTCACAGCTCTTGCCACAGACTTTACAGGTCAGTGGGCCTCCAAAAGCAGACAAGGGTGAATCTCCACCCTCTGGGTCAGATCTCAATGGAGGAGGTGCTTCTTCCTCCCCATCCCCCATGCCCAGGGCACTGGCACTACCCACGCCCCGTTTTTTCTTGTGGCTGATGAAGCGATGCCGGCTCAGGGAGCCAGGGGAGGCAAAGCATAAGCCACAGTCGAGGCACTGCTGGGTCCCGCCATCCACCCTCAATCCCACCATGAGGCTCTGCTCCACTGAGCCCCCGCTCCGATAGCGCAGGGGGCCTCCCGACCCAGGTCCACCCCTGGGGGACTTGGCCGGAGGTGTTGTGCTGTCAGGCTCCTCACTGCAAGAGTCAGAGGACTGGCGACGTTTCCGTCCTGGCCCCTGGAGAGGACAGTGAAGAAACTGGGCCTTCCCATCACCCCAGTGACCCTGGCACATCCACCTAGCTTCCAGAGGCCAGTCTATAACTTTGCAGGTTCCCACTCCCATGACCCTAACCCAACAGGGTAGGCCTCCACCTACCTGGGCTCTGGCACTGGGCCCCCGAACCACAATACTCCCCCGGCCAGGAGACTGGTCCCCGAGCGGCAAGCCGTGCCGGACCTGGACATGTTTCTCTAGGATCAGGCGGCTGCTGAAGGTGCGTTTTCCTTCTGTGCAATACCTAGAGGGGAAGAGTGGGCAGGGTGAGCACCAAGGGCACAGCCCAAAGACCAAGGCCAATGGTTTGAGAGGACAGGGACTACCAGAGCAAAGGGAGACCTCAAACCAGATCACTTGGACAAGAGGCAGATGGGAAAATATTTTGGGGGTTCGGGGGTAGGGAATGGGAGGAGGTCACCTGATGGGCGGTAAGAGGGAAAAGGTTACCTGCATGGGTAAACTCTCTTGATACCCTCATGATTGACCCTGACGTGGCGCCTCAGGCTGGGGGCGGAACAGAAGGATCGCTCACACAGGCGACAGGGAAACTTTTTCACTGACTAGGAAAGCAGGGGGTGGGGAATCTCAGAGCCAGGCTCCCAGGACCCCAGCCCCATGGCCACACAGGACAACCCCAAGGCTGCCCCTCCAGTCCACCTTGCTCACCTTGCCATGCTCCTTCTTCATGTGTGCCACATACTCATCACGTTCCGGGAACCAGGAGTGACAAAGGCCACAGGTCCAGCCTCCAGGGCCCCCTCCCCCACCCTTGGTTCCTTTGCTCCCTAGGTCCCGCCGGGTCCGTTTGGTTGGACGAGGGGGCTCCGGGGAGCTGGGGAGGTCCTCCTCTTCTGAGGATGAAGAGGATTCCTCCGTAGGGGGAGCTGCTCCTCCCCGAGACACAGCCAGCTCCTCCGGCTCAGCTTTGGGGGTCAGAAGGGCATCCCCAGCCCCTTTCCCAGCCGTCTCCTCTCCCAAGCGACCAGACTGATGGGTGTTCTGTGAGAGGGAGACAAAAGAGATGGCTGTTGTGGGGGAGGGCCTGGCTTTGCCAGAAATCCTTGTTTCTACCCCTGCCCCAACCCAGCACCAGATCCAGTACCAGATCAACACAGCTGAGCACCCCTGCTCCAGACCTTGAGATGATCCAACATGGTCCTTTTTTGGGCAAAAAGCAGAGGACAAGACGGGCACTTAAAGACACTGACGCGCTGGGGCAGCAAGTGCTGGTCGAAGTGTGAGGAGAGGAGGGGCTTGTGAGTGAAGACCGTGTCACACATGGCGCACTTGTAGATCATCCTGTGCAGGTGGAGAGAACAGTGCAGACACCCTGCCCCGTCAGGGCCCAACCCCCTCCAGCCCACCACTCCTCATCCCTGTCCCAGGTCTCACTTGGCCTGCTGCGTGTGGAAGCTGGGATGCTGGGTGTAGAGATGGGCGTGGGCGCTGGGTGCAGACTTGAAGGCCATGGGGCAGATGGGGCACTTGTGGAAAACCTCGCAGTGTGACGTCTGGATGTGCGACTTGATAGAGTTCACACCCCCAAACACCACTGCACAGCTGGGGCACCTTTGGGGAGAACATGGGAGGCATTGTGGTAAAGCAGGCCATTTCCACACCCTCCCCCACCCCATGCTCATCCTCAAGGACTGGGTGGACTCTGAGAAGTTAATCATTAGTGGAGCCTGAGCAAGGTGAAGACAGGAGGGAGCGACAGAGACACATCCCAGGGGAGGTCTGTTGTGGAGAGTTGAAGCTCCAGAGGGGACCCTGATCTCTGTTTTTGCCAGTACACAAGGGCAGAAGAGTTGAGCAGGAAAGATGGGGCTCTCGAAATGCCATCTAGAAAGACTGGTGCTAGGAACCATGAGACCAGCAAGTGCAGAGGGGCGTGTGGAGACACTGCGGAAAGGAGGGGTGGTGAGGTACCTGTATCCTACACGGCGAGAGAAGTGCAGACAGGCTTCCCGGAGATGGGTCTGAAAATTTGCTTGCAGGAAGTTGCCCCCACACTCAGGGCAGACGTGGGGAGGTCGATTCTTATGCATGCGCTGATGGGCACTGAAGCTGCAGCGATTAGGGAGCATCATGGGGCAGGTGGGGCATACCTGTCAAGGGGGTTAAAACAAGTTAAGTCCGGGAAGAATGGCCTATCCCCCATAACTTCTCCTAACCAAGCCTCTCGCACCTTCCTAGGTCCTGTCCCCTGGCTGTCCCCTTCCAAGGAAGGGTGGTGAATGGCAACTCACATTGCTGGTGGCCCCAGGAGCAGGGGGCCCGAGCTGCTGGAAGTGGGCAGCCATGCCAGCCTTGTCCCGGCACTGCTCCTTGCACTCCAGGCAGCGAAAGCATGTGTAAGCAGAGGTGGCAGGGGCAGCAGGTGGCTCAGCTGAGAGCGGCAGCACAGGGGCCTCAGCAGCAACTGTAGAAATGGCGGAGGTGGTGATGGCCCCATCACCCTTGCCCAAGGCAGGCAAGGCTGGAGGTCCGAGGGCAGGTGGGACAGCCAGCAGGGGCGTGATGTCTGGCTGCCCCACCATCTGGTCAAGGGCTACAGGCCTCATGACCAGGTGTGAGCACTGCATGACAAGCCCCTTATCCTTGTGCTCTCGGGCATGCAGTAGCAGACTGCACTTGTTGAAGAAGACCAGGCGGCGGGCACAGTGGTTGCAGGTGACCTCAATACGCATGCTCCGGCGGTCATAGTGCCGTGCCAGGCTCTTCTCCAATGAGAAGGCATCCCCACACTCGAGGCAGCGGTAGCCTGTTGGAGGCAGGGCCAGCCCAGCCTCAGCAGGTGGACTCAGGTTTGGCCGGTAGGCAGGCAGCAGGTTCTTGCTGTTGAGGATCTTGTTGAAGGCCTCCACCAGGCTGGACTGGGTCCGTGAGATCACTGTGCCGCCCCCTGCACCTGGCACGGTGGTTGGCTTGGAAGGCTGCACCATCACCACCGAGGCACCGTTCACCTTCTGTCCCCCTATCCCCAGCCCTACCCGCCCCTCAGACTTGGGCAGGGCTTGGGGCACCAGACCTAGCACATTCTTAGCCATTGTCTTAGGGCTGGTGGCAGTGCCCCCAGGCAGAACCACAGCTTTGCGGGCCACACTGGCCGCCATCAGCATGGCAGTACTTGCGTTCTGGATGGTGGCCACAGGCAGCACAGTGCCCTTTAGCCTTGTGCCATCACCCAACTGGACATTCACCACCTTTGGACTCTCAGGAGTTGGAGCTGCAGGGGACAGCTTTAGGAGGTTAGCCTCAGCCAGGAAGGTCCCCTCAGCCAAGGGGGCAGGGGGACCAGGGTCTGAAGGGACCCGGGTTACAGTCCTTGTGATATTCCCACAGGATGTTTTAATGGTCTTGATCCGCACCTTGAGGGGCCTAGAAGAGCTGGAGGAGGCAGGAGAGTCATTGCTGTCCTCGTCGGCAGCCTCAGCTCCACTAGAAGGACTCTGGGGACTTCCTGGGGGAGTCTTGTCCACCGGCCCCTGATCCTCTTCTTCCTTTAGGGGCTGACAGCTGGGCACTTTTGGGGAGGCAAGAGGGCTCTGATGCCCTGGAGACTGCTTGAAGAAGGGCACCCCAGCAACTTGAGGAGGTGAGGCACTGGCAGGGATGCCTGCAGCCTCGGGGCTAGAGCCTGAGCCTAGCCGGGCTATGCCCTGGGAATGAAGGGGGCTGCAGCTGCCCTGCTTCAAGGTGCCCAGCGATGGGGGAGAACCAGGTGGTAGCAGGGCTGGGCCATTCTCTCGTGCCAGCTCAAAGGGAGAGGAGAAAGGATGTGGGGACATGGCCCCTTCCTGAGGTGGAGAGGGTGCAGAGGAAGGCAGGGGATCAGGGTGCTCCCCTGGCTCAGGCCCAAAATGAGCAAACAAGTCCAAAGGAGCTTTGCCTTCCATGGCTTTTTCTTTCCAGGTACCCCCACTGGGAGAAGCTGGAGAGTGGGTTCCTGGAAGGGATGGCTCAGGGCCTCCAAAACCATTTTGCATCAGACGAGGCCCCAGAGGCCCTTCCTTAGTCACACCCCCTGTCCGGGCCCCTTCCCCTCCTGAACTTCCAACCAGGGACTCAGACTGCTCAGGACACACAGTGTTCTTGACAATGACGCTGACTGCTGAGATGTCCCCCGACGGCAGGCCAAGGTCAGAGGCCTGGGCTGAAACTCCAGGGCCATCCCCTGCAGCTGCTGCCGTTATTTCTCCAGATTCACCCCCTACACTGGGTTCTGGCTTCCCTGAACCTCCTGGCCCCTCATTTTCTTCTGGCCCAGAGTGGATGGCTTCATTTGCATCAATATCAGGGATGTCAAAAGCAGCAAGGAGGTCGTCAAAATCAGGGGTCTTCATGTCTCCCATGGCGGCAGGTCCCAGACCTGAGGAAAACAGGAAGAGGGAGAAACTGAAATCTCTGGAAGCCGAAACCCTGGACCTCCTCCCTCGGGGTCTCTATATTTATCCCCTCTCAGAACTCATGCACACTCTGGCTTGGGCACACCTCCATCATAGTGCAAATCCTAGAGCTGGTAGAGGCGCTTGGTTTGCCAAACCCTAAAAAGGAAGAAAGGTGGTGTGCACATTCCATGGAAGACACCAAGATCCAGAGAAAGCAGAAGAAAAGAGACTTCTCAGACATACACACACAAGGTAACAGTAAGAGACAGGGGGAGTTCAGGGCTTATCTTGGTTGAAACCACCTAAGCTCCTCCTGTGCCCAGCACAGAACCAATCAATTAATCAATACTACTACTAAGGAGGAGGATAGACATGATGCTCTAGGTTTAAGATCCATTCATATTCTTCATGGATCTTCTGAAGGTCCACAGAGATCTGAAAAACCATGTATACAAAGAGTCCATAACTTAAGCCAAGACACAAGAAATAATTCTAGTTCCAGTTTTATCAATGGCCTGCTGGACAAGCAAGTTACTCCACTGCCTTACTTTTGTCGTTTGAATGAAAGAGGGGATAAGTAATCCATGCATGTATCATAGGGTTATCCTGAGCACGATATGAAATTATAAACGTGACAGAACCCAGAATACAATTAATTATGACAGAACAAACAAGACCATGTCAGGTTGCGGCAGGACTAAGAAGGAATAAGCGCTGGAAATCTAGGGCTGGGGTCAGTGACAAAAGTCAGGGGTCACTGTAAGGTCAAGTCTACGGTACTTGGGGTCATCATTGGCACCTGGAGATCTAGCTTGATTAAGAGAGAAGTGGACTCGGAGAAATCGTCCAAGAAACCAAGACACAATAAGACAAGAACAGAACGAGACAAAGAGAAGAAACAGAAGGGAAAACTAAGAGGAACCTAATCACAAGGGCCTCCCTCATAAACACCTGGTGCTCCCTCACCTACCTTCCCCAGAGTGCCTGGGCCCTCCCACTGGCTCTCCCCTGGCCCTCCCTGGCTTTCCCCTCCTACCTCCACATCTTGCTCTCTCAGGGCTAAAACTCTAGGGTACAGGCTTATCTAGCACAGCTGCCACAATGGAGAAAAGCCAAGCCCCCTCACCCCAGTTTTTTCCCTAACTCACACTTGTCACCCTTTTAATTTTCCTTTGGCAACAGTAGCCCAGGAAGCCCAACCCAACCTTGCCCAGTACAAAAAGAAAAAAATCCTACAAGACTTCTGTGTCAATAGAACAACAAGGAGGCCAGCCTACGGGGTACCCAGGTCTGTTCCCTTACCAGCTTTTCCCACAAGTTTATCTATATCTGGGAAAAAGCTACTGAAGAAGTCTCCACCTTTACACATTCCCTGCCCAGGTTGCAAGCCATTTCCCAGGGCCAATTCTCTCACCTCTTTCCAGTCTTAAGACTGTAACTGGAGATAGTCCTGGCAGGTGGCAGGTGGTGGCATTGCTGGGACCAAGGTGGGGGTAGAGGGAGAGGGTACCAACTAGAGGAAGAAAGGGGAATCCTCCCCTCACCCCCCCACTCCCAATTCTGCAGGCTCTGGGTTTAAACAAAGCCTTCCACCTCTTGCCTCTGCCCCCGTTGGATCCCGAGGCCCTCTTCTGCCTGGCTCTCTCCTGACCTGGAGAGGCCTGTGCTACATTTCACTCAGGGTTGGTGGAACACAGATCAATGGGGACGGTGAGAAAACATCTGCAAACTCACCTCCCCCAAGCAACTCCCCCTCTGGTGTCCAAATGACTTAGAGGTCATCCTTAGCCAGGAGCAGACAGTATACCAAGCAGAGGAACTCAAGGCCGAAGAGGCTTCCCCCACCTCCCTGCCCAGGCCTTTCTGCGGCTGCTGCGCCCTGTCTCGTAGGCTCTGCCCCCACCCTTCCCTCTGTTCTTCCCCAAAAGCCAAAGGAAGGGGCTAAACAGGAAGAGGATGAACTAGTCCGGGTTGGCTGGGGGCTCCACTGCCCCTTCCCTGGCCCGAGGCCTGCTGCGAAGAGGGTGAGGGGCTGGCGGCCGGGGGCGATTAGACTGCCGCCAAGCTGGGCACCGGGCGGAGTTAAGTCCCTGCCATCTGCCAAGGGCCGGTGCCGGGAGCATGTCTGTCGTTGGGGGAAGAGGCTAGGTGTACACAGGAGAAGCCAGAGGGGAAACTGAGGCGTGCGGCGCTTCTCTCGCTGACACCGGCGAGCGAAGAGGTCGGGCCTCAGCCAGGCCAGGCCAAGCCCTCAGGGAGCTGCCGCGCAGAACCTCCGGGCCCAGAACCACTCGGGAGTGGGTTTTGCGCGTGGAAATGGAGTAGTGAGGACAGCACGGTCTTTGCGAGACTCGCAGCTCTCCATCGGGTATCCGTCCCAACTCCGACCTCCTCCCCTCGCCTCCCAGCGCACAGCAGCCTCCTCCTCCCACGGACTCCGGAGACTCCCTCGAGACTGGGGAGTGAGCAGGAGGCGCGCGGCGGCCGGGACGTGAGCCTGAGTCCTGCCCGGGCCCGGACGCTGACCCGCTCCCTGTTGGGGTGCAGACTCTGCTCCGGCCTGCCCAGGTCCCCCGCCCCCACCTTCGGACTCGGACACCATTTTAGGTCGCGACATCCTGCAGCCTCCAGCCCCCGGGCCGCGCTTCGGACGCCTCTTGGGCTAGAAGCGCCAGGACTTGGAGACCCCGACCCTCCCTCCACGTTTACCCGGCGGGGCTGTGTTTTCAACAGGATGGGAGTTTCGCCCAACCGCCCCAAGGAGTGGTGGCAGGGTCCGGGCCTTCCTAGAAGACGCCCCAGGGGGGCGGCGCGGAGAAGGGGGTAGTTGACCGAGTGGGGGAGGGGCGGGGTATTTACCCGCCCCCCCGGGGGCGGGGCCAAGGGCGGGTATTTACCCCAGGCATGCTTACTTGTTTGGCTTCTAGTGCGGGCCAAGCCCCGGCGGCGGTCCCTCCTTTGCTCCAGCCGCCGCCGCCGCCGCCACCGCTGCCGCCGCCGCCGCCGCAGCCGCCGCCCTCCCCGCTGCCGCCGCTACTTCCTGCTTCTCTCCCGTTCGGCCTCCCCCTTCCTCAGCTCCCTCCGCGTTCCCGGTCTGGGCTGCTCGCTTTCGTACTCGCCATTGGCCAATCCGCTCGTCGTTCAGTACTGTGCCCCTCCCAGCCCCGCACTGGGTTGGCCTTAAGTACTGCCGCTCGAAACAAGCCCCGCACAGTCTTCCCAGCTTCATTGGGCAAGGAGCCTAGTCTTCTGAAGATGCCTTTCGCCATTGGTTGTGCCGCGGCCCACCTGCCCCATCTGTGCATCTAAAAAGCAATTGGTCTCGCTTACTGTCGTTTAGGAAGAAGCCGATCTGATTCCCTGCTTTCCTACTGGAGGCGGTGACTATCCCAGGTGCGTCTACGCTCCCTCACTCCCTATTGGCCGCAACCCTTAAAACCTGCAGTTCACTTATACAAATGTAAGGAACTCCCAGCTTCTATAATGGTGAATACTTTGAGGGGGAACCTCTTCTACTCTGAATGGACCCGGATGTGTAGATCCGTTTGCGCTTTCTCAAGCTAAACTCCAATGTCGGTCATGCCGTTCAGAAGTCACAGAATGGGACGTCACCCAAAACATTACGTCATCTGATTGACTATTTTCTTGAGGTTTTCCTACTGTCTAAATCGCCATAAAATTTAGATGGATAGGGTCCTCGTGCGGGCCAGTTCCAGGGCCAATGGCGACACCTATAGCTCCTCCCTCTGCAGTAGTGCTTGGGGCAGAGCAGGATTTGGACTGGGGAAGGAATCGGCACCCGAAGCCTGGGACTGGCTTGCAGACCGGAAGTGGGGGAGAGGTGACGTTAGAGTACTGGAGTGGCCTGGGCCATTTTCAAAGGGATCTTAAAGTGGCACGTTGGTAGGCTTCTAAAATTCGGGGAGGGGGCAGAGCGCGCGCGCGCGCGCGCGCGCACACACACACACACACACACACACACACGCGCACACACACACACACACACACACACACATTTCCCATTTAAGAGCCCTCCTTTACCCCGCCCCCAGCACGGGGTGGGGGGGTGCAGTCTAGACTGGTTTTCCCGCGCTTTGTTGCCCCGCCCCCTAGAGGCGGGAGAAAGGGAGGGGCCTCGGAAAGAGTTGCCTTGGTATTGTAATCAGCACATACTTGCAGAATTCATCTGCAAGCCCAGTGTGCCACCTTGCGCGCACTCTAGCCGGCTGGAGAGCCTCCGCAGACTGCCGCGCACGCAGCCGCTCACAACCCAGGCGTGTTTATTAAAAGTGGTTTGTTACCTTGCCAGGGATCTCTGGACCCCTTGACCCAGACTCCCTGTGCACGGAAAGTCTTCGTAGGTAATAGCGACTGTATTGAGGTATGAATTAGAGCTTCTGGGTGGGAATCATGGGGCCCTCACTTACCATGTGATTCCATTGGGCAAGTGGTTCGACTTTCCTGAAGTAATTTTCTCATGGGTTAAGTGAGGATCGTAATATCCCCCTGACATGATTTTTTTTTTTTTTTTTTTAATCCTCACCTGAGGACACTTTTCCATTTTTTGTTCAGATAGAGCAGGAGGGAGAGAGAGGAAGAGAGAGAGAGAAACATCGACGTGAAGGGACACATCGAGTGGTTGCCACCCACACGACCAACCAGGGCCGGGGACAAACTGCAACCGAGGTACATGCCCTTAGCGGGAACCGAACCCTGGTCTCTCTGTACCGCAGGCGGACACTCTAACCGCTGAGCCAAACCGGCCAGGGCGATTTTTTTTTTTTTTTTTTTTTTTTTTTTTTATCCTCACTGGAGGACATTTTTCCATTTTTTGTTCAGGTAGAGTGGGAGGGAGAGAGAGGAACAGAGAGAGAGAGAGAGAAACATCGAGGTGAAAGGGACACATCGAGTGGCTGCCACCCGCACGACCAGCCATGGCTGGAGACAAACTGCAACCGAGGTACGTGCCCTTAGCGGGAACCGAACCCGGGTCTCTCCGGACCCCAGGTCGACGCTCTAACCGCTGAGCCAAACCGGCCAGGGCCATTTTTCCACTTTTTGTTCAGATAGAGTGGGAGGGGTAGAGAGGAAGAGAGAGAGAGAGAGAAACATCGATGCGAAAGGGACACATCCAGTGGCTGCCACCCGCACGACCCAACCAGGGCCAAGGAAGGACAAACTGCAACCAAGGTATTTCCCTTAGCGGGAACTGAACCCAGGTGTCTCAGGACTGCAGGCCGACACTCTAACCGCAGAGCCAAACCGGCCAGGGCGACATGATCATTTTTCTTTTTGGTGAGGTTTAAAAGCATTTAGTATGGCCCAGCCAATGTGGCTCCATAGTTGAGCCTAGACCCATGCACCAAGAGGTGGCTGATTCAATTCCAGTCAGGGCACATGCCCAGGTTGTGGGCCCGATCCCCAGTCGGGGCATGCAGGAGGTGGCCAATCGATGTTCTCTAATCGATGTTTCTATCTCTGGCTCCCTCTCCCTTCCTCTCTCTCTAAAATCGATAAAGTAAAAAAAAAAAATTTTTTTTTAATTAAGAAAAAAAGCATTTAGTATGTAGAAGTGCTGTGTAGAGTGATGGGCAAATTGGATTACTAGCCCCCACTCCACCTCCTTTCTCCAGGTCTTCTGCAGTCTCCAGCTCACTGCTCTTCCATCTCTGAGCAACCAAACAGCATTCCATTCCCACCTCCTTCTCTGAACCTTCCTGTATGGAATAATAATTACTGCTCAAGTACATGTATGGGACCTATTGTAAGAACTTTTGTGTATATTAACTCTTTTTTTTTAATTCTCACCCAAGGACATTCTTGCATTTATCTTTAGATAGAGCAGGAGGGAGAGAGGGAGGAAAAGAGAGAGAGAAAGAAACATCGATGTGAGAGGGACACATCAAATGGCCGCCACCCACATGACCCCAGCCAGGGCCAGGGACAAACCGCAACCGAGGTACATGCCCTTAGCGGGAACCAAACCTGGGACTCTCCGGTCTACAGGCTGATGCTCTAACCGCCGAGCCAAACAGGCCAGGGCTATTAACTCATTTAATCCTTACCACTGTGAGGTACTATTTTTATCTCTATTTTACTGAGGGAACTGCTACACAGACAGGTTAGTTAAGTTGACTTACTGAAGGTCAAAGGCAGTGGAGTTGAAACTCTAAGGATACAGAAAACTAAACACTGTACATCAAAGATTCTCTTGACAGGAGGGTTCTGGGTAGAAGTTTGTTCTTCAGTTAGATGTGCTATTCATTCATTTAAGAAATAACTTGCCCTGGCCGGTTTGACTCAGTGGTTAGAGCGTCGGCCTGCGGTCCTGAGAGACCTAGGTTCGGTTCCCGCTAAGGGCATGTACCTCGGTTGCAGTTTGTCCCTGGCTCTGTTCAGTCGTGCGGGTGGCAGACACTCGATGTGTTTCTTTCACATCGATGTTTCTCTCTCTCTCTCTCTGTTCTTCTCTCTCCCTCCCACTCTACCTGAGCAAACAACGGAAAAATGTCCTCGGGTGAGGATAAAAAAAAAAAGAGAAATAACTTGCCCTGGCCGGTTTGGCTCAGCGGTTAGAGCGTCGGCCTGCGGTCCAGAGAGACCCGGGTTCGGTTCCCGCTAAGGGAACGTACCTAGGTTGCAGTTTGTCCCTGGCCCTGGTTGGGTCGTGCAGGTGGCAACCACTCTATGTGTCCCTTTCACATTGATGTTTCTCTCTCTCTCTCTCTCCTTCCCACTCTATTCTCTCCCTCCCACTCTATCTGAACAAAAAATAGAAAAATGTCCTCGGGTGAAGATAAAAAAGAAAGAAAGAGAGAGAGAGAGAGAGAGAGAGAAAGAAAGAAAGAAAGAAAGAAAGAAAGAAAGAAAGAAAGAAAGAAAGAAAGAAAGAACTTAATTCTCCCTGGCCGGTTTGGGTCAGTGGTTAGAGCGTCACCCACAGACCAGAGAATCCCGGGTTTGGTCCCACTAAGGGCACGTACCTTGGTTGCAGTGTGTCCCCTGCCCTGGTTGGGGTTGTGTGGGTGGCAGCCAGTCAATGTGTCTCTCTCATACTGATGTTTCTATCTCTTGTCCCCTCTGTCTACCTCCAGCTCTATCTGAAGATAAATGCAAAAATGTTCTCGGGTAAGGATTAAGAAAAGAAATAACTTAATTCAACCAATATGTATTTCTTGAGCACCATCTATCAGTAAAACACTCTTGTAGGCACTGGGGATACAGCAGTGAACAAAGCAGACAAGAGTCCCTGTTCTCATGAAACACATTCCTGTGGAGAAGACAAACAATAAACATGGTACATAAGTAAAATATATAGAAACTGGTAGAAATGATCATTGCCGGGGGAAAAATAAAACAGGACTATCAAGCCTCGAAAAGACATGGAGGAACTTTAAATGCACACATTGCCAAGTGAAAGAAGCCAATCTGAAAGGACTATATACTGTATGAGTCCAAGTATATGACATTCTAGAAAAGGCAAAACTGTGGAAACAGTAAAAAGATCAGTGGTTGCCAAGTGGGGTGAAAAACAGGGGAATTATTTGAAAAGCTGTTTGAGGAGGGTTGTACCTCAGGTCCCCTGCTCCACTCCGTGCGGCTCTTTGACTGCCCCTTCTCCACCAATGCAGGAAACCAGGTTTATGCTCCAGAGAAGGGCAGGAATATTATCCTAAAAGCAGGAAGAATAAAAGAACATTTACATCCTACATTCCAGCCCTTTCTCCCAATTCAGTCTGAAGAACACTAACAACCAGGTGGGTACAGGATAGTTAACAGTAACAATTAATGTGATAACAATAACAATACCTGCCATAAACTGCTTTTAGTAAAAAAGTTTTTCATTTCAGACTATCCTTTGTAGTTACTTCAGATTGGTCTCTGAGTTTGCAAGGC